AGCAGTAGCTGGCAAAGTCCAGAAGGTCTATGTTTGGGGGCTTTGGAATTGGATGGATCTGAGTTTGAATTCACACCCTGCCAGTTAAGATCAGAGGCTTATAACCTTGCTGTTTTGTTTCTTCTCCTGTGTTGAAAAGGGATAATAATGAGTCCTGTCTCATAAAGTGATTTCCTGAGAAAAAGTCTGTTCCTTTCTCCTTTACATCTCCCCAGAGATCACACAGCGTCAGCACATGGCAAATCTGGCAACTGTGTTAGCTGATGCCAGCTGCCAGAGTGGCACTGTTGGGCTAAGAAAACTTAGATTGTGGAAATCACTCACTTCAGCTTTCTCCCAATGGACTCCTGAGGCTCATAAAGGTGTAATGAGATGTCCCAGGTCACAAAACCCACTGAGGGTAGTGAAAGGGAAGAAGCCATTATTTTGGGACAGGAGAGGGACTGAATTTACTCATTCCCAAGTTCTGGTGTGTACAAGGTACCCTGATACTTAAGTAGTTATCCGGTTACTAAGTTCCCTTTGGAACCGAACAAATCAGTGGTTAGAATTGTAGGTGAAGGAATTCACCCAAAGAAGGCAAACTGGAACTGCTTCCTCTGCTGTGGGAGTTGGGTTGGATACACCCTCTGGGGTTGTTTGCCTAGCTCTGCCTTTCTAGATTTTCCTTGGAAACAAAATGTCATAGAAAACAAATAGTTTTCCCTCCTCTTTGCTGGACACATCACGGAATGTTGTATTTAAGTTGGAAGATAAACCTGGTTAAAAAAATATTTACCTTGAATAGCAACAGGCACACTAAGAGGTCATGAAAAGCATCTGTGTGTCCCAGAGGTCATGGCTTGGGGTCCACTCCATGGCCATAGCACCCTTCTCCCAAATTGTAGTTATTTCTAATGCTTATTTCTTGAAAAAATTAAGGTAAGCCAGGGAGAAAGCTGCAAAGATTCTGGGGGTAGCATCCTCACTTGTGCATGCAGAGAGTGAGCTCTCGGGTAGAACCACACCAGGAAGTTGAGTATTCTAGTCACAGAGACAATAAGCTTGCCAAATAGAAGAAACAGCAAATTCCAGCACAGCAGCTGACTCTGCTCATTCTCACCAAGTCTTCAAAGTCAAGGGTTCTGGCTCTGCTGTCAGTTTTCACCTGAGCCTGTCTACAGATGCCAACATCCTCCTCAGCTACACAGTGGGTTCCAGAGGACCATGGGGCATCTCCCTCAGAGGTGAGCACAGGTTCAGGATTTCAGGCAGCAGAAGACTCTCAGGGCTCAGCAGGGCAACCAGAGAGCTAAGCCTGTTGGAATGCTCCAGAGAACCTCATTGTAGAGTACCATGTGCACAGGATTTTGGAACTAATGCTTAGGGATGACATTTATGCTCTGGGACTCTTTTTCTACACAGAATGAAGGAGTTGTTTGAGAGACTGCTTCTGGTCCCTTCTACTTTGGACAACATGACCATCTTGTACTTGGTTTCATCCACAGACACAGCCATGACTGAGGGGCCTCTCGCCCCTAAGCTCCGGAACTGAACCCTGGCCATCTCGCCTCTATGGAATCACTGCTTCATGTGTTTGTTTTTCCAGACGTCCTTGGTGTGGGCAGGTAAAGTGACTCAGTTTCAGGGATGTAGAAAGCAGATGTTTTCCTCCAACAGGAAGCCCAGAGGGGTGTTCTGACACTGATTAAATTGCTGTCACGTCAGAAGTTTTTTTTTTATCATAGAGGCATACATAATGATGGTTTTGTTATTTGGACATAAAAACATCTCACTACAGCATCCTCCCTGGAATGCTCTAGGCAGTGGAAGCGATAAGGCCCAGTTTTCCTCCCCTACAACCCTGAATTGCTAGCAGTGAATGACGAACCTCAAGACTCCTAGGGAAAATGCCTTGCAAAGAGACACATTAAAAATTATTTTATTATTATTAGTTTTAGAATTTTATATACCGATATTGTATTTCCATCATTTCAACTCCATAATCTCCCATTTCCAACCCCTCCCATTTTCCTCTAACTCCCTCTGAACTCTCAAGTTCATGAACTCTTCTTTATATATATATATATATATATATATATATATATATATATGTGTGTGTGTGTGTATATATATATATCTATATACATATATATCTATCTCTATCTCTATCTATCTATCTATCTATCTATCTATATATATATATATACACGCACATATATTTACAGGTTTTCTCCAGTGTCCATTTAGTGTTGTGCTCATACGTATACTTATTTGGGGCAGACCACTTAGAATTGGATAACCTATCAGAAGGATTGTTCCAAGAGAAGACCGATGCTCACTCTCCTACCAGCCTTTAGTTGCCCATAGCTCTTCACCTAGGAGGGGGCCTTGTGACATTTCCCCAATCCACACTGGCATCTTGACTGCTTTTGTCATTGTACAAGTCATATAAATAGATACATTTTAAACAGAGAGCTGTACTGTGTATGGGGCATGACGTAGTAAACTCATTTGAAGGGGGATAAATCACTGTCTTTGTAATGTTGGTTCACTTGGCAACTTTGAATTCTCATGCTTGGAGTCAGGCACTCAGGGGACAAGCACACACTTTGAATAGATGGAATACATGGCTCATTAAAATGATCCATTACGTGACAGTGTTGAAACTCCAACAATTAGACCGTTCGACCCAGGCCTGGTTCATTTATCTCCCTCATGCCTACCAGAGTCCCGGCACCCACTAAACACTCAATAAACTTTGATTAAATAAGTAAAGAGAAAGTGTTCACAAAGTAACCTGGAATGAAAAAAAATGAGAACAAAATACAGGTGCAGTATGATTCCAACTAATTAATAAATAAATTTTTATGTGCATGTGTCATAGATAAACATTGAAAAGCGGGCACATATAAAGAGCTGTGGGAGAGATGCCTTTTTTTTTTTTTTAAGATTTGAGCTGGTTAGTGGTGGTGCACACCTTTAATCCCAATACTCGGGAGGCAGAGTAAGGTGGATCTTTGTGAGCTAAGGCCAACCTGGCCTACAGAGTAAGTTCCAGGATAGCCAGGACTGTTACACAGAGAAACACTGTCTCAAAAAAAAAGTAAAAAAGAATTTGAATCCTAAAGTTGCTTTAGTAAGGAAAGTCAAGAGATCGTGTTGTCTTATATAACACCAGAGTCCCAGCAGGGGTGTGATATGGCAGAGGATCTTGGTTCTGAATAGAATCTTTTCGAGCCAATTAAAGCCTCTGGACCTCAGTTTCCTGACCTGGGAAGAGAGGGCAATGACAGAGGCTTTACTCTGTGCTACTGTGAGGCTCAAACTAGATGTAAGGTCTGGGTCCATGATTGTCACTTGCTTTTGGAAACCCTTCGTGATGGATTTATTACAGATCAAGGTCAGCCTTGAGCTTCACTCACATTGGTGGGTGCTGGACCCTCAACAGCACAGGATCTCCATGCTAGTGGTAACCAGCACCCTCCAGGGAGTGTAACAGTTAGTATTAAACTCAGGCTATCTCTGCTCCAGTCCAGGGCCAGCTTCTAAGGCACTGACAGGGTGAAGGATTAAATGTATTTGCAACCCCCCAGCAGATGCTGGAAGAATGACTAAACAAGGTTTGCTGTACTCATCTCCAGAGGCAACAATGCACTCTTGGAGTCTGAGGATAGCTTTAACAGTTGTTTGGAATGCACTCAAACATCTGGCTGGGAGAAAGGAGCTCGGTTTAGAGCAAAACTTGAGGTCTGGCCTCATTGAGCAGCTGTAAGCCTTGTGCCACCAGCCAGCCCCACGTCTCATAGACCAGTCAGGAGACACAGCAAGAGGAAGGGATTTTAGAAATGGCAGTATTGCTCTGTACGTGATCAGGTCTAAAGAGGTGCATGCATAAACATATTTTTGTAAACATATATTAAAAACATTAAAATGCTGTGTGTGTGTGTGTGTGTACTGATCATGTAACTATTTTACCGGTAATACATCTCTGGATTTTGCCTTTTAAAAGAGCACAAACTGATTTTAAACTCAAAAATAAATGTTATTTAGAAGGAATTCCCTTGAAGTATATTATAGACATGTATGAAATTATCATAATGGAACCTATATTTATATAATTCATATATTACAATAAAATTATAGTTTGCAAAATATGACAATTGTATAGAGTTATATTTTGTTTCCTTTGTGAAAAGATCTAAATTGTTTTAGAAGATTGAATTAAGCAAATAATTTTGAAAATGAAGAAAAGAGGAGTTTTTTTTTCCTTTCTTATTTTGGTTTTTCGAGCAGGGTTTCTCTGTATAGGGCTGGCTGTCCTGGAACTCACTCTGTAGACCAGGCTGGCCTTGAACTCAGAGAGATCCACCTGCCTCTGCCTCCTGAGTGCTGGGATTAAATGTGTGTGCCACTATCTCTTGGTAAGACACTTCTTTTTTTCCTGCCAGCCACAGGGCCGAGAATTACAGCCAGAGACAACTACAGGAGCAGACAAACTCTTGACTGGGGGTTAAGCTCCTTCGGTGACAAAGCCCCTGAATCTTGCAGGAGGATTGACCCGTGGCTTGGCTCAGTTTCTCTCACTCGACCTGCAGGACACTCATCTATCTGCTTGTCTCAAACATTTCAGCCTGTGGCCTTGTTTTCGAATTTTAGCTCACACACTGAGGCAACTTGCCTTGAAAATGCAGAACACACACACTAGTCTCACCATTGGCTGCTCTCTTGGAGAGTGGTCTCCAAGGAGGAATGCAAACTACGGGGTACCATGGAAGCCAGGGAAGAAGTAAGTCCAGGGCATCATGGGCACAGGGGAGGAAGATGAAAAAACGAGAATGACTCAGAAGTAAAGGGGGTTGGGAGAGGGAAGCCTTCTACTTCACAACCATATGGGAAATGTGGGGGTCGAGAGGATCCTGGGAAAGAAACAGCCCATGTGGATATAATTATTCCACAAAAGTGCCCCCCACCCCACATCTTCCTTCTGGCCCAAGAGCCCCTGGCTCAGACATTGTTACCTCATTGTTGGTGCCAACATCTAGCAGCACAGGAAGGCACTGCTGTGGATTCACCCCTCCGCATGCTGTGTACAGGGCCAGCTTGCCCACAGGGATGCCCATGCCATAGCAGCCCAGGTCTCCCAAGCCCAGTATGCGCTCTCCATCAGTCACCACCACCGCCTGAAAGACACAGCAGGACACCCTCAATCAGGAGCACCACCTCCATGACAAAGTGCTCATTTCAAAGTCCCAGAAGTCAGCCCTGACAGCTGGACACCCGCTGACTTTGTTGGGAATAAAGCAGCCTGTCTGGGACAAGGCCAGAGGATTCATCAATTGCAGGTGGCTGGCCCTTTCTGACAAGTGGGCGAGGAACCTCACAGAGGCCAAGTGACAGAAAGACAGCACTCCTTGCATTCTGAAGATTGGGTTGGGAGTGGCAGAAACAGCTGGAGAGAAATCACATCTAGCCGCCCCCTCCCCAAACTGGACAGTCTCAGCCTGAAACCTGGGGAATGGGACAGGAAGGGGACAATGTAAGAAAGTTTATGCTGCTACTACAGCCACAGCTCTGTTGCAAAGAACAGAGCTTGTAACGTTTTCTAGAATGACAAATCCTGGAATCAGGTAGATTCTTTGGCTGTCTGAGGATAACCTGTTGGCAAAGAATCACTGAGGGCCAGCTCTGTACTAGACACAGTTCTGGTACAAATCTTACCTTTATCAGATGTTGATGGGGCTCAGATATGATTGCATGATCAGGGTGGATGCTCATTTATTCATTCACTTAATAAACACTTATAAAGCACCTGCTTTCTAATAAGACATATCCTGGGGAAAGAACTTTAGTTTGCTTACCTATAAAGTTAAATATGTGTACACCCAAATGAGAGAGGGAGCATATTTATTAACAGTTACAGCTTTGAGACAGAAGCCTGAATGCAACAGGACAATGCAGGGAGAGTAGAGATTGAGATACTCCTGTAGGGTGAACCACTCCTGTAAGTTCTGTAGATGAGAGAATACACACACCAGACCTTGGACAAGAAGCAATTGTGAGGGTGCAGGCAGAATGCAAGACCTTTAATAGGTGTTGTGGAATATTACTTTAACTAGGAAAAAATGTGTTATATTTGTTTATGTTGTGAAATATTACTTTACCCATGTAAGGTGTGTTACATTTGTTTATGCTGCATTTGTTTAACAATGTGAGAATGTGTGTTTCATTATGCAAAGATGTGTTGCATTTGTTTCATCCTGCCTGCCTAAGGCACCTGATTGGTCTAATAAAAAGCTGAATGTCCAATAGATAGGCAGGGCTGTCAGGCAGAGAGAATAAATAGGAGGAGAAATCTAGGTTAAAGAAGAACAAGAGAAGAATGAAGGGACTAGAAGCTGCGGTAGCCCCAATTTAACATTTCTCTACCTTTTGATCTGTCCAAATCAAAGCTTTCTGACTTGGATTCCCCTCCTGAGGGAATTCTTTGCTCTGCTTACAGGGAAACTGTTGTGTACCTATTTGCTTTGAATTAAGACATTCCCTCCTGTGGAGAGGAGGGAGGCCAATAAGACTTGGGAAGTAAACACAACACACAAGGTTCAGGGATTAGACATTTACAGGAAGCTCCTGAAAATTACAGGAATCATGAGATCCTTCCCAAAGATTGCATAAGCAGTGACAATTGCTGGAGAGGAGAGACTCTTTGAATGACCAAACTTCCTGCAAGTTGAGCAGGGAGCTCCAGGGATGCAGCTGCCTAGGAGTCACTTATGCTCCTGTAAGCAGCCCCTCAGCCATACTCCCCAATAATCTCACTGGTTCACTAAGGTATACTTAGGTGGGATCATGTCTTTGGTCTGTTGTTAGTGACCTATCTGTGGTGTTTGTTTATGTCTCCTCAGGAAAGTCACACAACAGCAATAAACATTGCAAGATTAAACTCGAGCAACTCTCTACTCTAATGCATTATTCTTATAACCCTAAGATGATGAGGGGCCATCAGTGCAGTTTCCCAGACTGGAAATGTCCCAGGACATTCTACAACATGTTCAACTCTTCTGAGGGAATGCATCAATTTTCAGTTCTTCTGTACAAATGGTTGACTTGGTACAACAGCTTCTCAGACTGCTTGACCCCTCTTCTTACGTTTAGTCTCTCCTGCAAACCTATGTCAAGTTCATTACATTCAAAGCTCATTTTCATCATGATATTTCCAGGATCAGAGACTGTGCTGGGTAGTTATATGTCAGCTTACACAAGTTACAGTCATTAGGAAGTGGGGACTCCACAGGATTTGCTGGTAGGCAAGTCTGTAGTACATGCCCTTGATTGCTGACTGATGGAGGAAGACTCAGCCCATTGTGGGCGGTGCCATCCCTGAGCTGGTGGGCCTAAGTGTTATTAAAAAAAGCGGGCTGAGCAAATCATGAGGGAACAAGCCAGGAAACAGTGATCCAGCATGTCCTCTGTTTCAGTTCCTGTCTCCAGGTTCCTGCCTTGAGTTCCTGTCTGTCTTCTCTTCATGATGGACTACAAGCTATACGATGAAATAAACCCTTTCCTCACTAAGTTGATTTTGGTCATAGCTTTTTTTTTTCCTTCACAAAAACAGAAACCATAACTAAGACAAAGACCTTCACTGATTTCTAACTGCTCCTCTGGACACCTAAATCTGTATATTGTTTAACATACCTTCTAAAAGTTGTCTATCTATATATAACTGCATTGTCTGGCTAGTGGTTTCTTCTCTCTTTATGTCTCTCTCAGCCTTTATAATTATTTTTTTCTCTGGAGGATCTTTCTTCCAATTCTCTACTTTGACAGATATAGTAGTGGTTTTCATTCTTATGAACTGTTAACCTTGTTACATCTAATAAACACATTCCTGGTCACCTTCTACATTCTGCGAGCACTTGTTAAGAGCCTACTGGGTACCAAGACTCACACAAAATACTGTTGGGAAGTGCCTTTTGTATGTCTAATACACCTCTCAAATGCCATTGCTGCTTGTCCAAATGAATTCTTATATTCTTATTTGAATTTTTTTTACTTGCTGCCTTCCTGTCAGGGGCTAGGTAAGTCAAAGGCCATTTGGGGTTCTGTGGATGGAACAAGGAGCTCTAGGTTTTTGTTTCCTGTCAGAGTCATGCTTGGCAAGGCTACCAATGGACTGGTGTCAGGACTCTGGAGCCTCCCAAAGTCAGAGCCTGGAGCTTGACAGTTTCCCTGTAAAGCTGTGGCCAAATGTTCCAGATACAGAGATGTGAAACGCTTTGCTTGTCATAACAGTACAGATCTTGCAAAAGAGGAACTACAGTTACTCTGAGTTCCCCATAATCCTGCTGCCTGATGAACTTTACAGATTTTCTTGCTGCTTCTTCATTTGATGGTATATTAGGATTAATAAATGCTTGGGTCATCAGCCCTCAAAGTCCTCCTGAACGCCCACTTTTGACTCTTCTTACCCCTGGTCTTCCCCCTTAGAGTTCCAGAACAAACCAAGGAAGAACTACTGGTCTCATTCAGCTCCCCTCTTATTTCCCTACATCTTTCAAGCTCAAGATGACCCAACCTTTTTTGATTTTTCTTTGCACTTTGGCAATCATGTCCAGTTGGCTATTGAGATCTGCTGATCCTGCCTGCTCCAGTCTTGTGGCATTTGTTCTAGGACCCTCACACTGTTTCTATTGCCTTTGACCAGACAACCTGCTTGCCACTTAAACCACCATATGATTTTCTGACTCTTCTTTTTATTCTTGGAGTCTCCCCATCCTTTTTTACTTTTACAGAGCACATCTGGATGTATCAGTTTCTTGCCCCCTATAACATTTTCTTAGCCTGACCTTTAAGATTTCCATGGGCTAGGTCCACTCTGCCTTTTGAAGTTTTCTCTTTTCCATGCTCCATCCTAACTAAAATATTTCCGATTCTGTATGGGTTTTCCACTTTCTGTAATAGGTGGCATTTTACTCATCAGGTCTTTCATTTCTTTGATTGGAATTCTACTATTTTTTGTGTTTCAAGGGACAATTCAAAATCCACTTGTCTTGCCAGGTGATAGTGGACACCTTTAATCCCAGCACTTGGGAAATAGAGGCAGACAGATTTCTGAGTTTGAGGCCAGCCTGGTCTACAAGAGCTAGTTCCAGGACAGTCAGGGCTACAGGGAGAAACTCTGTCTCAAAAAAATAAAATAAAATAAAATAAAATAAAAATTTTACCTGTCTCTGTGAAGCTGCCCTCCTAGGCTTTTCATTGTTTTCCATTGAACTCCTGGAGCACTTTTCCTTGCCTAAAGTAGCCATCACTCTTTTGCTCGTACTATAAATATTCATGTTCCCATGTCCTTCATAAAAGCTGTAAGCTTTTTAGGGGCAATATTAGGTTGTGTTATTTTTGATTCCTTAGCTGTTGGCTCTGAGGCCAGCAATGTGACACACACTCAATTAGCCAGGCAAACTATAGCCCCAACAGTGCAGAAAGTGCTTCTCGGTTGGACAGGATTCAAAGCCAGGATAGTTAAGTTCAGAGAGAAGATGTAGCCTCTCATTGTTCCGGATAGCAATCCGATTAATGCTGGGAAACACTTAACTAGTTCAGTGGGTTGCCAAGGGCTTAGGGAAAGTCTGGGCAGTGTATTTGGGTTTGAAAAGCCAGCAATAATTTCTGGAATGACCGAACACCAATTTCCTTATTTGGATGTTGGAAAAGTCATGACATCCCTCGTTTCTTAGACAAATGGAGAGGTTTGAAGAACGGTATGCTATGTTCTTTCTTGCCAGCCTTCCTCAGACCTATGTATGACCTTTTCTGACTTCTTGGGTATGGCCCTTAGCTTAACTAACCAAAGACTGACCGGAAGATCTTGAGTCCTAGATTGCTCTTGGGCTGTTTTAGATTTATTAGTGTGATTATGGATGGGCTGCCTGCCCAAGTTTTCAAAACACCTTTTCCTCTTCCTTTTGTTTCACCCTTCACTCTTATCTCCCCTTCCTTCCCTCTACTCCATAACATAAATAACACACATTCCTTAGGTTCAAATCTTGATTCCACTCCTCACAAAGTGATTAGTCTCTCAGATTCCTTGTCTCTAGAACAAAGATAATGGGAAGCCCTGTGGTTGTCAGTAGAATTCAATGAGTCAATCTGAGTGAAGCGCTTTTATAGTACTGCTTGAAGGGGCTGGTAATATCTGCCCAAGACTGTTGGGAGTTTCTTCCCTACTGTTATTCTTAGCCACCAGCCTATCTGGAGAATTTTCTCTATTTGAGCCACCTTGCACAGAAGCCACACCTCTTTCCAAGGTCAGTCTACAGCCAATGTCTGATCATACCAGGAGTAAAAAAGCCCTATCCCCCAGCTTCTGCCTAAACTATCCCAGCTCTGAACCTGACTCATAGTTTTCACTGAATCTTCCTCTAGACCTTACCGCAGGCAACCTGTGGCCCTCGGCTCTGCTCCTCTTCTAGTGTATAGCTGTTGAACCCCTTCCTGACAAGTTAATTTCTGTCTCAGAGATTTTCAGCAGGTTCAGTCACCGGACTGACACGGAAGGTGTTCACCACTCCCTGGGCCCATGCATGGTAGACAGACATATGGCTCTAGCATTCTGGACCATGTTTTAACACCTGTGTGACTGGTGCTTCGTGGTGGAGGCTGCTGTTTTGGTTCCACCACCCAGAGCTTTTTCCTCAGAAGTGTTGGGAGAGATATTTAGGAGTCTGAGGAATTGACAGGGAGAGACGTTCTCAGTTGAGCCTTTCTCTTGTGAAGGCATCGGGCACTCTGGGAAGGAGACAGAGCAGTGGTTCTCACTCCTTTGTATTATTTACACTGGGCAGCTTTCTCCTCCTTGCAGAAGAAAGGCCCCAAAGCTTTGGTAGTCCTGGCCTTGAGTAATAGGTTCCTCATAGTTATCTTCTCCTGCATTTCAGTTTCCTGGCCTTCTAGCTGGGGAAACCACAAAAAGTTCATTTTTCATCTTCCAAATTGATTTAGAAGGTCCTCTGAAATTAACCATGCTCTGTACCAAGCAGCCAGCAACACTAGGTTCCAAAGATTTCCGAAGCCTCATTGAGAAACTGTCTCTCTGAATGGACTGGTGGGGGGTGGGATGGGGTGGGGTGGGGCGGAACTCAGCAAGGAGATGTAGTTTGGACACCAGCACTCACCTGTGAGTGACCCAGTGTGTTCCTTGTATGCTCCTCTCAGCAATGTCCCCTCCTCCTGCCCACCCTTCAGGGCCCACCTTGGGGCTTTCAGAAGGAATCCTTCCTGAGCTTTGACCTCAGTGCCTGCAAAGATGCCCTGTATGAGCTCCGAAAGGGTGATGAGCAGGGAGTTCCATGGAAGTGGAGAGATCTTTACCCTTTCAGTTTTAGGAGCAAGAAAGACTGCTGCTTGGAACATCCCGGACTTCTGAAAGGGCGCCTTGGGTGGCAAGGGAGGAAACCTTCAGTGAAAGGCTGGAGAGTGGGACAGGGTAGAGCGTGGGGTGGGTTGGGGAAAGTCCAGTCAGCTATTTGTTTATTCACCATGATACAGGCTCTATATTCAGAGTGCCTGATTTTTCCAGAGAAGCCCAAAATCCAAGTGCTTTTATATTTATTGTTTTAAATGAAATATGCTTTTAAAAATACAGCCTATAAATTCAAAAATTTTAACAGGCACTGAGGGCCAAACCAAGTATATATGGATACAAGGCACGTGACTACCCATTTGTGGCCTCAGATTCCCAGAAGAAACCTGTTTCCATCGCTGCCCTTTGGCCCTGCATAGCCACAGATGCTACAACTGCTGCCAACATCCCCTAGCAGGACAATGTTGTTCATTTGTGTGCTCTTCAGTGTTCACTGGCTTTATCATGATCAACCCACATCAGGAATGCAAAGTTCGGAAAGTCAATGTGCAAACATAACAGGCATGGGGAAGATCCATAGCCAGAAGCCCTGTGTGTCTGCTTACAAAACCAGGGCTGTTTTCTCTATATGGTCACTGGAAATTCTCTAAAGTGGGACAGAAATAAAGGATGGGGGTTGTCCCAGGCCTTTACCTGTCCCCTTTGGAGCCTCAAGAGGAGGGAGGCCAGGTGGCCTGTGCCCTGTCTGCAACTTGCCCTGTAAGTTCCTCTCTTTGGTAGCAGAGGTCTACTTTAGCCTTGCTCTCTCTAGAGTACCCAAAGTTCCTGTTTCTGTTCCTTTCATCACTGTCACCACCTCTCTGGTAGTCTTCAATATTAAGAAGGGTCTCAAAATATGTTTATTGAAGTCAATAGTCACTTAGCTCCCATGGTTCTGTTTTGAATTTATACCCTGTGTTTTCAAGCGTGACAGGAAGAATCTGGTGACAGGGTGCCTTTCATTTCATTTTGGAATTCTTGAAGGAGGACCTGATAATAGTCATATATATTGTACCCGGCCAAGGAAACATCGCACGTTTGATTCCTGTGCTAGTTTGGAGGAAGAGGTACCTTTTTACTTCCAGTTGAAGAAGAGGAATTTCCTTTATTTGTTCCAATTGCTCATAATTTGCTTAAAGTACTATATGCATTATCTCTATTCCTTGCACAGTGCCTGGCACAGGAAGGTGCTTAACGTATCTGTTGACTGAGTTTATTCACAGTGGAGAGCATCTGCTGAGTGTCTGTAGATGCATAAGATTTCTCTGTGGTTGAGCAGTCCAGGGAATGTGGAAGAGATTAGTGGACAGGACCTCAGCATTATGCCCGCTCAGGTTAGCCTAAAGTTAACTCCCCACTAAGTGAGCTGGCTTCCCTCAATGTCCTCAATATTTTACAGGAGTTTCAGCCTAGACACACCCTGGAAACATGTTTCCCTGAGATGGAGGCCAAAACTTTCGAGGCCAAGGCCTTACACATAACTGGAGTCCACATGGATAAGCACAGGGCAAAGTCACACCCAGATGGAGATGTGAGTATGGTCTGTCCCCTGTGGCCAGTACTGAGCTTTGGCTGCAGTTCAGGCCCGGCTGCAGAGAGTCTAGGTTCTAAGCCTTTTCTACTCTTGTTCTAAGTGCTCACACTGGCTAGAGAGAGCCTGATTTGGGTGGGAAACCAATAGAGGCTCTATTTGGTACCTTCTGGTGAGGAATAGGCTCAGGGAACTAGCAGGAGTGGAGGGAGTGGGACCCTGCCGAGAAAACAGTAGAGATCCACAGCCTGCCAGGGGAGCCAGGGTAAAGTGAGCAGCTGGCCCCAGGGTTAGCTCCAGTACTGTGACTCCAGAGCTGAAGTCCCCTCAATAAGGAGCCATCAGCTTCACTGATGTCACTTCCAGAAAAGACAGTTGCCTCAGATGCCAGACCCCTCACACTCCTCATGTGGAGCACTGCACGGTTTGCATTCCACGCTGTCGTCTCATCCTTTAATCCCTAAATGTTTTGAGGAGACTTGATATTTGGGAAGCAGTGGCAGTTTTACCTTGTCACTCTGCACATATACTCTCTATTCTCTGCTACCTGGGGCACAACTACCCAAGTATGCTCACCATAAACTTTCACACAGAAAGTCCTCATCCATATCTTCATAACCCTTAATCTAAGGCCCGGTTCCAAAGTCATTTCCATATGAAGTCACCTCGGACTTCTCTGAGATCAAAATCCTACCTCTGTGATCACCCACAGCTCTTTCTATGTGGTTCGCTTAGCTCTGATCACGTTTCTCCCGGCTAGTCTGTTGGGTCACTGTCCTGTTTTCATCACGAAGTGTTCAGTACCTTGATTTCTGTCTACACCCACAACAAGACTGGCACAGTGCACTCAGCAGGGACTTTCAACACATGCTGAACATTTCTTGAGATTAATATTAATTAAGAGCAACTTTACCGAGATACATCGTTAAGGCAAATCTCTCTTTTATGATGCATTTGTGGTGGCTATAACTGGTGTGTAATCAGGGCCTGGAGAAAGAAGCAAGTATCTTGCCTTCATTGTCGTAATGGCTCATTTCATATGTACAGATAACACCAATACAAAGTGACAATGGTTCCTCCAACAAGCAGGGCAACAGCAATAAAACAGGATCCTACCTTAATATTGTCCTCTGGCCAAGAGTTCAGCATTGTTGCAAGGTGGCCCTTGTCATGAATGGTGATAAACAGCCCACTAGGAAAAATAAACATGAACACACAGAGAAACCAGGCGATCAGTGTAGAAACAGCAAAGACCATGAACACTGGTGCCAATTGCATTGCTGACTTCTGCCCCCAGTCCCAAGGAAGATGGGTTTTATCTCAAAGCTCTGGATGGTCCCGATGTTTTTCCTTTAATTGCTTCTCTCCATAGGATCAGTAGTGCACTGGGTCAAGGGCGTGCCCACCTGGAATCATCTTCTCTGGAGAATGCAGCTTCTCTTCTTCTCTCTTTAGATCTGGTACCAGAATCCCTTGCTTCACTAACCCCACAACTACCTTACCGACTGCATGGGTTTGCTCTCCAGCTGCTTACTCCATGGCACAGACCACATGGCCAGGACCAGAACTTGGACATGTGGGTTGGGATGTTCAGATGCATATGCACCAGGCCCCTGAAATGGGAGGTGTAGCTGGGAAGGGAAGCAGGGGAGGGGTGCCTGATGACGTACTTTTCTCTGCAGCACTGGAATCTAACAACACCAAATTCAAATTTAGCCTTCCAGTCTAGAAGAGGGTGCAGATGCAAATGTAAGACAAGACAGCATGCTATGTTTAACAGCTTGTTACTTGAATTAGAATGCTTAATGTTTAGACTTAAAGGTTGTGGTTATGAATCTTTTGTTCTAGGATTAGAGATGAGAGATTATGTGGACATTTGTGAGATCCCTTCTCTCTCCCACTCTAGTAGATAACCCATAAGATTTACATATTCAAATTTTTATCATTTTAGAAGTGAAACATGACTCCAGCCTTCTGGTAGTGGCACAGAATAACCCTTCTGAAGACAATTATTATAAAATCAGTCATATATATATATAAATAATTTATATTACTTCTATACTATGAAACATGTGGTTTGGTTTACAGTAATGGAGCTTGGTCAAATGGTGGTAGAATCTGGAGGAGCATATGCCTTTGAAAACAGGCATTATTTTCTGAGATGGGCAGCTCTGCAGTGTTTTGCCTGAGTGCAGATCCATCTTCAAACAGAAAGACAGACTTACAGGTCGAGTGCCTGAGAACAGGGCTGGGGTTAAGAAGAGCAGATGGACAGTGCAGAGGGGAACTTGAAGGTAAGAAACTTCAGAGAGAAGGGACTCGCAAGTTTCAGTATAAAAAGCACAGCCATTCAATCCTGCCAAAAGCAATCTACAGATTCAATGCAATCCCCATTAAAATCCCAGCACAATTCTTCACAGACCTTGAAAGAACAATAATCAATTTTGTATGGAAAAACAAAAGACCCAGGATAGCCAAAACAACCCTGTTCAACAAGGCAACATCCGGAGGCATCACCATCCCTGACCTCAAGCTCTATTATAGAGCTATAGTCCTGAAAACAGCTTGGTATTGGCACAAAAATAGACAGGTAGACCAATGGAATCGAATTGAAAACCCGGATATTAACCCACACACGTACGAACATCTGATCTTTGACAAAGAAGCTAAAAATATGCAATGGAATAAAGAAAGCATCTTCAACAAATGGTGCTGGCATAACTGGAGGCTGGCATGTAGAAGAATGCAGATCGATCCATGTTTATCGCCATGCACAAAACTTAAGTCCAAATGTATCAAAGACCTCAACATAAATCCAGCCACACTGAACCTCTTAGAAGAGAAAGTGGGTGGTACCCTTGAATGAATTGGTACAGGAGACAGCTTCCTGAACAAAACACCACTAGCACAGACAATGAGATCAACAATTAATAAATGGGACCTCCTGAAACTGAGAAGCTTCTGTAAGGCAAAGGACACAGTCAGCAAGACAAAAAGGCAGCCCACAAAATGGGAAAAAATATTCACTAATCCCATATCTGACAGAGGGTTGATCTCCAAAATTTACAAAGAACTCAAGAAGCAAGTCTCCAAAACACTAAAGGATCCAATTAAAAAGTGGGATGCAGAACTAAATAGAGAATTTTCAATAGAGGAGTCTAAAATGGCTGAGAGGCACTTGAGAAAGTGCTCAACATCCTTAGCCATCCGGGAAATGCAAATCAAAACAACTCTGAGATACCATCTCACTCCTGTCAGAATGGCTAAAATCAAAAACACCAATGACAATTTATGCTGGAGAGGATGTGGTGAAAGGGGGACACTCCTCCATTGCTGGTGGGAGTGCCAACTGGTTCAGCCAGTATGGAAATCAGTATGGAGATTCCTCAGAAAAATGGGAATAAACCTACCACAAGACCCAGCAACTCCACTCTTAGGCATATATCCAAAAGATTCCCATTCATACAACAAGGATGTCTGTTCCACTATGTTCATAGCAGCATTATTTGTAATAGCCAGAACTTGGAAGTAACCTAGATGCCCCTCAACTGAAGAGTGGATAGAGAAAATGTGGTACATTTACACAATGGAGTACTATTCAGCAGAAAAAAACAATGGAATCCTGAGATTTGCAGGCAAATGGATGACACTAGAAGAAACCATCCTGAGTGAGGTAACGCAGTCACAAAAAGAGAAACATGGCATGTACTCTCTCATATATGGATTTTAGACCTATATCTGGGGAGTGCCAGCCTACAATCCCATGGCCAGAGAGTCTGGGAAACAGAAACTTCATTCAGTGGCTGATGGAAGAAGAGGCAGACTCCCGGTTAAGTACTGAGCTGAACTCAAGAAAGCCAGTAACACAGAGGGAGGACTGATGATCAAAGGGATTAAGACTGGGCTGGTTTAACCCCCAGAAACAGCTGACCTGACAAAGGTTAACTCTTGAATCCCAGGCATCAGCCTGGGAATCCAGCATGGGACTGATCAAGACCCCCTGAATGTGTGTGTCAGTGAGGAGGCCTAGGTAATCTAATGAGCCTTGGGCAGTAGATCAGTACTCATCCCGAGTATACACACGGATTTTGGATTCCCATCCAACAATGTGAGATGCACTCTCACCCTGAACTCTTGGGGGAGGGTCTAGGTCCTGCCCTGGATGAAATGAACGACTATGGACACCCCCATGGAGGGCCTCACCCTCCCTGGGGAAATGAGGGGATAATGGGGGGGTTGGGGAGAGGGCACGGGAGGAGGGGAGAGAAAGGGAGAGGGACCTGGAACTGACTTGTGAAGCAACCTTGTTTCTAATCTAAATTTAAACTGAAAAATAAATAAATTAAAAAAAAAAAGCACAGCCATTGACTGGCCATGACTAGCAGGGACACTGACATAATTAGTTGTAGCAAGAATAAATAAATAAAATAAGTGTATGTGTCATGCCCACACACACATGCCTGTCACATATGCATGTAAAAGTCAGAAGTTGAAATCATGAATTTTCCACCTTATTTTTTTGGTATAGTCTTTGACTGGACTGGATGACCAGCAAGCCCAGAGCTACCCTTGCCTCTCCCTCCCTATCGCTAAGATGGCAGATGCTCATTGCTGCCCTCAGCATTTTTTAAAATGTAGGTGCTGGGTATTGCACTTAGGTGCTCACATTTGCATGGGAAGTGCAGTTTCTCATTGAGCAATCATCGCAAACCCCATAGAGTGTCCTGAATGTAATCCCTTACTGGAACTATTCTTTCTCCTCTCTTCTATCACTAAACTAAACACAAACAAACAAAAAACAAAACCAAAAACCAAAAACCCAACTTGCCTGCAGAAGCTGCCTGGACTTTGTTCCCCCTCTAATTCTCCACCCATAGTAGCGTGTTTTTTATTAGCATTGTATTACCAAACCACCGATGCTTTCACCTCTTTGAAAGCAATGAGCATTTTTCAGTCCTTATTTCTTCTGGTTTCTTTTTTATATGAATTATTCATTTTTATTTATATGTATGCATGTGTATATGTGCTCTATGTGTGTGTGTGCAGTGCCCCTGGAAGCCAGAAGAGGGTGTTGAAATCTCTGGAGCTAGTTACAGGTTTTCTGATGAAGATGCTGAGAATTGAACTCTAGCCTTCTGTCAAAGCAGCAAGTGCTCTTAAGGGCTGAGCTGTTTTCCAGTCCCTCCTCTTGCTTCTTGGTAGAATCTGATGCTTTTATTAATTCCTTGCCCCCAAATGTCTGATGTCTGTCTTGTCTGTCTGTCTGTCTGTCTGTCTGTCTGTCTCTCTCTCTCTCTCTCCTTCTTTGGCTGCTTGTCTTTATTCTCTTATACTGGCCATCCAGCTATGTTTGTGACAACATTCCTCAAATACTTCCTTTCAGTATCTCACTTTCAGTCTTCTTTTATGTGATCTCGTTAATGCCAAAGGCATTTGGTCACTGAATTTCAAACACCTGAACACTAGAAATTTTCATTTTGGGTGCTACTGACATTTAAAAATTCTTTTGTTAATATATTTTTTACATTCCAATCCCAGTTCCCCCTCCATCTTCTCCTCCCGCTCCCCCTACTTCCCCTCTCCACCTCCCATCTTCTCCTGGGAGAGGGTAAGACCCCCCCAGGAAGTCTCCTAAGTCTGTGCCATCATCCCCTTGAGGCAGGACCAAGCACCTCTCCACCCCCAACACCTCCATGTATAGACTGAGCAAGGTATCTCTTCATTTAGAATAGACTCCACTAAGTCAGTTTGTGCACTAGAGTTAGATCTTGAACCCACTGCCAGTGGCCTCATATATTGACATTTTGGGTTAGAGAATTCTTTGCTATGTGGGTGAGGTTGCCCTGAGCCCTGCAGGGTTTTTGGTAACATCCCTTGCCTGTAGCACCTCTACTCTGCTGTAACAACAACTGTCTCTAGTCATTAGCAAATATATCCAGAAGGGATGAAAATCATCACACACTTGGAAGGAATTGCTCTAGACTTCTGTATTATCTGCCTGCCTGACATATGTCAATGACACTCAAACTTAACATGTCTTAGACCAAATTTATGATCTAGCCTTTCACCAGCTGTCACTCAACAACAAGACTGACTCATTCCTTTCGATCTCAAGTTGTCAGCCACTCTGGCTTCCTTTCCCGACCCCATGCTGCCATGTGCCTCCTACCTCAGAGTGTGTAGGCTGTTTCT